TAACAGCAATGACAATGATATCTGAGATGATGGTGGATATTGCACCTATGGTGTTCACTACAGAGAGGTCAGTATCAAATTTGCTGTTAATGATAGAGCACTTCATACATCTGTTTTATATCAGGGAGTTTTAAAAATTATTTCATCAGCAGTATTGAAATACTTACTCTGTGTATGCAGATGTTGACATGTTTGCATTTCTTCCACATTGTGTTGTGTTGTTTATTGTGTATAGATAAGGAGATGAAGTTCCATATGCATACTACAATATGAGAATATTTAAATATCACAGAATAGATTGAGACACACTATGTTGACTATCACAGGCCCAAGCCCAAACAGAAGCACAAGTAAAGCAAGTGGTTTATTATATCCACTTATTGCATATGATCATAGAGCTGCAAATACTACAAATAAGGTAGTTAGCAAGAGATAGAGCTTAGTGTAGGTACAAGACAAACCTGCTCCAGTAAGTATTGTTGCAACTTGTGCAATACCTCCAACAATCATCAGAGCTTCACAGCTAATACTTTTCAGTCCCATTATATTATAAATAAAACATTGCAAACAAACCTCTATGCATATAATATGAGTTTTTGCAGGAAGATAAGAGTATATAGTGAGGGAACTTACCATAATTGTTAAAGGAAAAGAACTGACTGCATTCAATCCAGCAGTGAACAAGAGTAGATATCTGTTAATGAGAAACACAATTGTGGCTCCAGATACAGGATGTAACCAGAATAGATCAAGTTCAAGGGAGAAGGTGATGATGTATTCATAGAAGGTGAGAGCTATTGCGCCAATATTTCAGAAGTGCATGATAATATACATGGAAAATTCTATACTAGAGGCTGCCCAGTAGCAGATTTTGTCCAGGTGTCTTGTGATGAGGTGTAAGTAATGTATGCATTCTCGTGTAGTCATGAGTGGAAGACGGCTCACATTATATCAACTACTGATGCAATGGAAGACATATCAGGGGAATACTCATGCAAGAGTTGTGAATGTGAAGGCCCAGTTGGAAAATGGGCGATGGAGATACTGTATTCTATGGGGGTTCAACAGGTTGTTACCGGAAGCACACTGGTGTCCACGGAGTTATATACGCGCAAGGTTTGAAATAGCAACAGCGAGACCAGTGTGACTGTTACTGAACATTGCAACTCAACAGACATGAGAGCTATGTATATCACCTCATCTGTATCAACAACAGGTCTATGTACATAGGAACGGACACACTGAGACGTCAGGGGAACATATCCGTCGATACGAGCACTATAGAGCCGCTAGCCCACTTGAATCTCGTTCGGTGTTGGTGTAATGAAGCTGTGTTGGGAAATCTGTGTGAGATCCATGGAGATCGGAAATCCAGGCATAGGTACCCATCGTCATCTTGCCTGAAACAAATTACTTGCCAGCATACATACAGTGGATGTGCGCATGTCAGTGAAAACAACAAGAACCGTGCTTACCGTCAATTGACTAGTAATGCAACCGTGACGCATCAGAGGATAGAATTCTGCTAACAGCAGTGCGACCGGAGATGCCCTCCTCTGACTAGTCACTGCACAGTATGTGGTCTGACACTTGAGATCGGGACTCAACTCCAACTCGCGCCCGCGAGGACTGATATCCCAAACAAAGGCCTTGACTCACCAATGAGCCCCTTGAAGCGCCATCCATCTCAGGTGCTGTCTAAGACACATTCGCGCCGGTTAGATGCCGATACCGGCTCATCACAGGCTACCCCCGCTCAACCAAGCTCAACTACAGACTCACGATGACGAATAGCTGAAGAGCGGCAACATCGCTTGAGTTGGAAAATACCGCACTAAAAGTACCGCACTTTGCGTGTACAGATTGGTGCTCTTGCAAAGATTCAATGAACAGGGAGAGAGGCAGGACGTCGATTGAAACCGAGAGGAGGACAGGCAGAGGCGGGATAGAAGCGCTAGAACTTGACAAACCGGAAATGCTTAGGTTCGATGGAGGTAGGACGTGGAGTCACGGGCGCATTTGGGTGCAGACAGGAGACACGACCGGATTGAAATGAAGTTTCGGTGGGCGAGAGGACCGGATGGGACTCAGAGGGACGACCACGCAAGTCGAATAATCTAAGATAAGTTCCGTGCCGGCAACTACCGACGCCCAGCGTCTTCCGAACGGCTCTCGAGCAGCCTGTTCACGACGACGTTGAGCAGTGTTGAGCAGTGTTCCCTGCATTCCACTGGCGTATCCCAAAAACATATTTGCACTTGGGCGCAACGCCTCTAGTCTTTCATCTATGAGCTCGAATCCCTCACATCTCTCACATCCCATTCAGTGCTGACTTTAAAAGCTTAAGACCCTGTAGATCGTTACTCCACGTGCCGTGCATCTACAAAACTTCCAGTACGTCTAATGTTTCCCAGACATACATTGACACTCTTAGTAAATCTCTGTAAGAGCGACAATACAAGCGGGAGGAGAGGCGAGATGGACGGCGGATGAGCGCATGGCAGAAACGCCGGATGGTACTCGTACCCCCATCTAACGACTACGACGGCCCCTTCCCCCTTTTCTGTTTTTCGTTCCCGTCGCGCGCACGAGTACAGTGCAGACGCTCTGATCGGCCGTGCGAGCCTCCGAAGGGGAGCGAGAGGAAGGCCACGCAATTGAGTGATCTTTGCGAAGACGACACGGTGCACACAAGAAACAGTGTGTCTAGATAGAGAGTGAACACGCGGGTAGCATGGCGGAGAAAGAGGATCACGTCGCCAGGCCAGCGCAGACACCGTCGGTCATTTTCCGTGCAGACGAGCGAAGACATCCGCGCCGACGACGACCGGTAGGGCGGTTACGCGCGATCTTGGAGAGGAAGACGAGGTGGTAGATGCAGGACGCACCAGTGTGTTGGGGAGCAGCGCAGATGAAATTCGAAACTGCGCGGGGCGCTGGGACTTGTGCAGGCGGAGGACGAGTCGGACGTGTACGGCTTTGGGCGGGCGCCGCCCGCCTTCCGGATTCGATTGTCCTTGAGCCATAACCAGCGTCGCCCGACTTGTCGAGCCCGCTGGCGATGGAGGAGACGGTGGACATCGGGGGATCCGAGGAAGACGGGCCTTTCGATCGGACGTGGTGTGGAGCTGCCCCGGCGACGCGATCGGTCGAGTCGCCGCTATGTGCTCAGTTCGACATTCCTCTCCTGTGCGGGATGTCCTCACATCGAACTGAACTTGAACCAGTGTGCGAGTGCTCGGAATCAGCTCCGGACTGCCCCCTTTCTCGAACTCGGTATGCACATATTCTCTTTCCTCCACGCGCTCGAATCTCTCACATTTCACTCGGTGCAGGTCTTGAAACCCCTCAGATCGCTATTCCATACGCAGTGCATCTCTCAATCTCCAAGTACGTCTGATCTTTCGTACATATACCTTGACTCTTAATACATTGACACTCAGGAAAAGCGGTGATACAAGCAAAAGGAGAAGCGAGATGGACGGCGGATAAGCGCACGGCGGAAACGCCGGATGGTGCTCGCACTCCGCATCCAACGTTTATGACGGCCCCTTTCCCATTTCCTGTTTCCCGTTCCCCGTCGCGCGCATGAGCGCAGTACAGACGCGGTGTGCCGCAGTGCGAGCCTCCGAAGGTGAGGAAGAGTAAGTTCGCGCAATCGGGTGGACATTCGCGGGGAGGACGCGCTGCGCACAAGACAGGGTGTCTAGATAGAGAGTACACACGCCGACGGCATGGTGGAGTACATCGATGATGATGTTGCAAGGCTAGCGCAGATTATGTCAGGTGTTTACTGTGGGGCTGAACGAAGATATCCGTGCTGGCGACGCTCGTTGGACAATGTCATGCGATCTTGAAGAAGAAGAGGATGCAGAGGATACAGGACCTGCCAGTGTGATGGAGAGCACCGCGGAGGAAATCGCTGATGCAGAGGAACGGGCAGCGGGGGGAGAGGCAGTGGAGCCAGCTGCGAAGGTATGCGGGGCTGTGACAGGGAGGATCAACGTACTTTCACTCCGCATTCCACAAACACCACGCCGCGTCCTTTTTCCACAAATACCATGTCCGGCGTCCAATTGATCCCGCCTATGACGCGGCTCTGCTGCCATAGCGATCTCGTAATGGTCTCGTATCCAGACGTGTCTTCGAGACACGTCTGGGGACGAGACCACCTCACGTGTTCACTCGGATGCGCAGAGACAAGCAACTCGATAGGACATCCAGGAACACCCCAGAAATCTGTGTAATGCCAGGGACAGTCTATCGAAGCAGCGATATGCATCAGGCAAGACAGGACGTATGGTATCCAGAACCACAGAATACGAAGCATGTGCGTCGGTTCATGTCCTGCAACTATGAATGCAAGTCTTAACACTATCAAGCGTTCCGCGACGGCGGCATCATCATACGCTCACAAGAGCAGCAATGTGCGTACGCTGTAGGAGGAGTTACACCTGGGACGCAGGTGAGCATGCTTGCTTCGCATCAGCACTCCGACAGAACTGGAGGAGCCCATTGCACAGGTGCCTTTCCCTCATGCTGCGCTCGCTTCTGCACAGGTTCTTCTGCGACGTTTACACAAATACGATCATTGAGCATGCCGCAAACGAGGTTGTCCCACTGTGGCGAGGATTTAGGATTCTAGACCACGTTCGTCCCGGCCAACTTGCGAGAGAAGTGTGGTTGTTCACCTGCACTGCTTGGGGCACCCGGGCAGCGGCAGATCGTCGCCAGACATAATGGTCCGGTGCTCGGTGGCAGAGGGGCGGGGAATGAGGGGCAGCGGCGTGCAAAGGAGGCTCGCATACGCTCCGCGAATACGTCCAGGACGCGCTCCGCCTAGACATCCGGGCGGCGGGGTCTCCAACAAGGTGGATGCAGTCGGGACAGCAGCCTGTCCTTGTTGACCCTTTCTAGAAAGGTAGGTCGAGTCGAACGCGGACGCCTTTCAATGATCCATCGCCGGATGCCTTCCGAATTTGATCGTCATTGACCCAGTTTTTCCCTCGCCGCCGCTGCCGATGCCCGATTTGCCATATCCACGACAGCTCCACATGCAGGCAGCGTCAGCGGAGGGGCGCATCGATGGCGCGGCGCACGTCCAGTTTGGCGTGGGCCTTTTGATCGGAAGTGGTGCGGAGCTGCTCCGAAGATGCGATGCCCACCACCGGCCTCAAATGCAAGTCTCCTGCTCAGCCATCAGTCGAATCCCCGCCATGTGCCTAACACGATATTCCTCTCTCCAGTGTGGCTAACTGTCCCCCAGCCGCGGGGCTATCACTTCCTGCAAGAATGGCATTGCATCAGATTGAGTCTCCTAACACTAGCAGGCGACATATGTTCCAATACGCACAGAATGCCTAGCTCAACCACCTGGGAGCCGCCGTATCTCTCATTTAAAGCTGCACAGAATTACGGCGTGCAAGGTGCACAGCCCGCCGCATGAGCTTATTGGACTGCACATGGAGGTATTAGCGACATGGAAGATGAGACGATCCACTCACCTGGGAAGTGCAACCCCAGCACCACGCGACTGCGAGTGCCAGGATGACTCGTACCACCAGTCACAACACCGACGCAGGCACCCCGCACCGCATGTCACAGGTATGTGCTTGCTGCGGCCGCATCCGCCACGATAACGAGTAGCTGTAGAACGGTAACATCGTGCTAAGCTGAAACGTACCGCACTTCGCATGAAGGAATCGCTGCCCTGAAAATGGTTCGATGATCAGGGGCGAAGGTAGGACGTCGATTGAGGCCGAGAGGAGAGTGGCCAGAAACGTGATAAAAGCACGAGAAGGACAAACGGCTGATGCATCCGTTCGAAGGGGCTGTGACGTGGATTTACGTACGCACGACAGACGCGTTGTCGTGCATACAAGAGACAAGAAGGGACCAAAGTGAAATTTCGATGGACGAGGAGACCGGATGGATCTCAGAGCGCACCAACGCGAATGGTTGCTCAGGAACTCAGATGGATTCCATGCCAGCAACTACCGGCGTCCAGCGTCCTCCGAGCACCTCTGAGGTTGTTCATGATCATGACGACGTTGAACATTGTCGGGCAGTGTTCCCTGCAGGCCACTAACGTATGTCATGCACATATTTCAACTCTGGGCACAACTCATCTGATCTATGTTCCTTGATTCCTCATACTCTGCTCAGCGCTGACCAATAGATCGTTACTCCACACGCAGGAAATTTCCACCACTTCGAGTACGTCTATTGCTTCCTTTAATGTACATTGATTATCTCAGTACAAGGAATTATGCAGACAGGGGGAGGGGTGGGATGGATGGTGGAGAGATGAGTGCAAGTCATGATGCTCACCTTGAGCATATCCCAGGTGGAGTACTACAGTGAGAGAGTGAGCACCCAAGTGCTGCTGCTTTTGAGGGGCTATCAGAGCATAGGCCTATGCCACAGCTTCTGAATGCAACATTCAAACATGCTGTGTGTAATACAACTGGCCAAGCCAGACTTTGTGCCACCTCTCTGTGCAAGGTTTTATCATTGCCTCCACATAGTCTGTCTAGCAACCCATCAGGAAAACCACTCTGCACTAATTATTGCTATGGCCCTGCTAATGCAAACTATGTTTCAAATGTTGTATCTACCTCATCTATTTGTTACTATCTTAATCTACTCTGACGACAGGGCATCATATTTGACTAATTAGCACTCAGTGGATTGGTTAGTAATCTGATTGTATCTGAAACTGTTATAAAGTGAGTATGGATCAGGTGGTGGCCATGATTGCCATGCTGTGCTATCACAATTCTGCTATTGTCTAATCTGCCAGTTCACTATTGCCTAACTTCCTCCAACAGGTTTCTGTTGACAAGCTCTCTCCAGTCTACCACCATCACTTCTCCTCACTTAGTACCACATGGCTATCCTCAGGTCTGTGATATGACCACATCTATTGTCTTCTCCCTTCTTTGTCAGAAGCTATGCAACATTGCAGCTCCCAGAACAGTCAGAGTCAAAGTGGGTTATAAAGGTAAGGAGCTTTTTTAGAGGCCTCTGCAGCAATTTGAATCACCTTGCATAATGTGTGTGAAGCTCATATGAATGTCCTGACAGCACTACCACACTCTTCTTCATTGTCTTTGGGATTGTCACAGTTTTTCGAAATTATTCCAGAATAAGTGCGCACCTATCTTATCTTATCAGATAGCGATTAGATACAGATTAGATGTATGCCGGAGTATCTACGGAATAGTAGGGAATCAGCTAGAAGGTGCTAGGATGCTGATGCAACCTCAGGAAACCTAACCCTAACTTGGGGGTGCAAAGAAAAGGGT